AGTTGTAATCTATCCAGGAATCAGACAGTCGTGTGTCGTGTATACGTACTGTGTTGGGGCTCTGCACCCAAGGAATAAAGTTACGGTGAACTTTGCTTTCCACACGTCATGTATACAATGTGCTCAGTTGGTGTTAACAGTTCGACGCTCGTTTTGTTGCTGAGGACTACGTTCTTCATCGTCATCACGTGCGTCGCGACGCTGCATAGCGCCCCAGTACAGTCTGACGTCCAAGCCATGGTAAGAAGACACAACTTCACTTTCGGTATCAGAGTTTGTTTCATTCGTACGGTTTGCGATTTGGGCTGACATCATAAAGATTTATATCATGGTCTCGTTGGTTATGACACCGTGTTGTCTGGTAGGCTTGTACCATCACCGGGAAATGTTGGTTATCACCAGAGTTGAGCGTTATTTCTTTACCCACAAGATCACAGTCTCAACTTATTTTGACATTCTTCTTCGGGCACTCCTGTTCCTCCAGTGTGTGTAGAACTGCGGGAATGTGGGGGAGTATCGAGAAGATGAAGATAATTTTGTCGTCTGGAGTATATTTGTATTTTCTCCGCTGTGATCGCGTTTCTGAAGCTAGCCACTTGTTCAGAATGCGCTGAGCTGTGTATCTCCCACACAATATGGTGTTCATTGCACATTTGAAAGAAATGTTCTTCAGTATAAAATAGAGTTAACGCGTGTTAAGTGTGGTGAATAAGGATGGGAAGTAAATCGCTCTATATAATACATTATAGCCATCTTGTATTGCTATTTTTCGGTCACTGTTGGGTGTAACTAAACCAGATATTTTGTGCTCTAAAACAGAAGACTCGAAATTTTGGTATGAAAGTCGAGGGACTTCTTGAGTGCCTCAGCGACTGACAGTTACACGTTCAAGAAGTTTTGTGGTCTATGAGAGTGCTAAAACAGGGGACACAACGGTAGTTAGCTCCAGAGTTTGAGACTGTACCTCCTATCACAGCTTCATGTTCCTCCCGAAAGGAAGATGGGAACTGCAGAAACCCGCGGGCTCAGGGTTTCTGGTTCGAGTTACAAAAGGACGTGTCACTCTTTGTCTTTGCTACTGATGCATGATTCACGCGCGTGACTGCGGGAATAGAATTGTCGAGAGGTCTGCGGCCCTCTTGTCCCTCCAGAAAATTCTGGACAACGAGCGGTTCCCACTGAGGTGGTTAGCCAAGCGTTAACAGTCTAGATTCATATTCGTGAGATGTTCGGTTCGAATCTCGGTGGAGACACCGCCTACCCTGACTGAAGAAGGTATTTTTGTGGTTTTCCTCAGTCCTTCCAAGAAAATGCTATGATAATACCTCGATTAAGCCGCGACCGCTTCCTTCCAAATCCTTTCCGGTTCATCTTATCCCATACTATATACATTCCGTACTAAACAGTGTCTTGAAGGGAGCCGGGATAGCGCAGTCGGTATAGCGGCTGGCTACGGGCTGCACGACCGAGGGGTCGAATTAGTCCCGGTAGGGTCAAGAATTTTCCCTTCTCTACGTCGTCCAGACCGGCTCTGGGTTACACAACCCCCCATCAAATGGGTATCGGCGGTTCTTTCCCCGGGGGTAAAGCGGCCGGGGCGTGATGCTGACCACACCTCCAGCTAATACCGAGATCAAGAAAATGTTGATCTATACATCCACACTCCCATACTTTTTCATGGTGTAGTGCTTAATTAGTTAAGCACAGGGACAACTTTACAGTGTCTTGAGTGACATCAGAGAAATGGCGCCCCTTGCTTTGCATAGGCACCACTGAGAGGACCTCATATCCAGATTAGTGAACATCAGTTCGTGTGAATGATGCAGCAATGCGTAACAAAAGGCCGAGCTAGCAACTACTGACACCTTATCTAATTTACAGTTCGTTATCGCTGCTTATTATCAGTATGTGTGGAGCAAACGAAATCGACGATGCGCGTCATCCAAATGACGCAGCCTCAGTGCACATGCGCACCAACTGAGACCAGAATACAACATCTACAGAGCTCAGAGCTGGTTCTATCGGGCTTTAAACCATGCAGATACTGATCAATTAAAGAAATATGAAGGGGGAAGGTGTTTACTGGACTCAGCTGGCTAAAGATACAGACCAGGGGTGCGCTCTTTTGAACAGAGCAATGAAATTTTGACCGAGATCAGAAAATGTATCTTTTCTGCAGGCAAATGCCTTTTTTTTTTTTTTTGTGGACGTAAGAAACACCTAAAGTCAAAACTGATCGCAAGGAAAATCAAATTTCTGACGTGCAAAACAGTTGTGAGACCAGTATTAAAATATTGTCACATGTATGAGTGACTTTAGACGGGGTTTGGATTGGGTGACTCGATTTATTGACTGTTTATACATTCATGACTCGTGACTACACTTTACAGATCACAGACACACACAGATTAATGTTCTCAGTCTGTTATAGTCTTCACTAGCCGTCTCCTGGCAACGGATTTTAACATGGACATTATAACAGTCCCACTGAATTACACACTCCAGGTATCACACATAAAGTCTCCACAGCCGGACTTTCAACTGAGCACTCTTGCAATTAACTAGTTGCCCCAAATCATTACGTTTATAACATCTCGGCACGGACTACACAGAAAACACCGTTTCTGTGTTGCTGTACCTTGGTTGCGTTCGTGTCTGTTGCTACGGGGACGTGTTTACCGACGCGTTGCCTACAAACGGCTGTGGTATATCTGCCTATCTCGCGGTCGTTGTATAGCAACGATTCTACAAGCTGCAGTATGCCTCTTGAGACCTGCGTGATATCCGAGATAGAGGCAAGATCATTAGGTCTGTTTGAAGAAGAGTTCTCTGAAGCATTTTTGGAGCAGCGCAGGATAAGGGTACATGGAGGAAGAGATAGCCATGAATCGTATAAGCTATTTAACAGATTAAGGTGCGCTGGACATGATATGCATATGGAAAGTAGTAGGACGGTCAAGGTGTTTGATGCCAGACCTGAAGGGACTAGGAACACTGGAAGGACCAAACTGAGATGGGAGGATGGTGTGATCCAGGATACCAGGCAGGGCCCTGGGAGCGAGGGGTGGGGGCGATGTCGCTGTGAACAGAGAAGAGTATGGAAACAGGATTGGAGGTTGTGGACTGGATTCAGCGGCTCAGAATGTGAACAGTGGCTTTGGACACGATAGTTAACTTTCGGATTCCATTAAAGTGGGTTGGTTTACCCTAAATAAAAATTACACATTACCCTCTTAACCCTTTGAAGCATGAAGGAGAGAGATAAGGCGAATGAGGAGAGAAGCAGAAGAATTTTTTTTTGGGGGGGGAGTAGTGTCAGATGCTGGAATTTAAGGGGGGTAGACACATTTGTTCTCTTCTCCAAGTATAATTAGAATGATGAAGTCAAGGAGGATGAGGTGGACAGGGCATGTTGCACGAATGGTGGAGAAGAGGAGAGCATATAGGATATTGGTGGGAAAGCCAGAAGGAAAGAGACCACTGGAAAGACCAAGGCGTAGGCGGGTGGACAATATTAAAATGGATCTTAGAGAGATAGGATGGGATGGTATGGATTGGATTGATATGGCTCAGGATAGGGACCAATGGAGGACTCTTGTGAGCACGGTAATGAGCCTTCGGGTTCCATATAATGTTGGGAAATTCTTGAGTATCTGCAAATTTGGCTTCTCCTCAAGAAGGGCTCAGCTCCGTAAGTAAGTAAGGTAGACAAATTTTTCTGCTTTGTAGGTTCCCAAGGGGTGCCGGGTTGTTCTTGTGGAAGTACGTTTGAGATAGGGTAAATGGTTGGGAAGTGAACTTTGTTGAGAACAGAGAGGAAACCTCGATCGAGTTGGCCGGTGCGCAGGACCTCTCGAATACAAACTGACTTTCAGCCAGTAAGTTCGGCATTGAGGCACGCGAACCCTCTCTGGCTTCTGTTTGCTTTCGAAAAAATGTTCAGACATTGTTCTTACAGGGCTCGTTTCGTGTGCAGACATTGCAAGAGTAACGGACGATTTTAGGTGGTAAGCGGAAGCACAGTAGACACACACACACACACACACACATATATATTGTCGCAGTTTTATCGAGTAACTGTAGACGGGTTTTGGATTGGCAATCGGATTTATTGGACTCATACAACTCGTAACTACAGTGCTGTAACTAATTCACACAACCTGCAGTTCACTTACGTCTTCTCAGCCTGCTGTGTCTTCACCAACCGTTGTCTAGTAACGGCTTCCAAAGCCGGACGTTCCTCCTACTCTGTGGTCCCGAACTGTCCCCGTGCCTCAGCTACCAGCTTCTAACGGCAACGGTTCACAAGGACTGAACCACAGCAGCCCTCTAACTAACTGCTCACCAACCAGCTCAGTCCACTGCACTCCACGAACTAATTCAGTCCACTAACTCATCCCGCTTCTAATATCTCGGCATGGACCGCACAGAAAATGTCGTTCCTTTGTTGCTCTGTCTTTGTTGCGGTCGCAACCACCGGCACGGAACGCGTAGAAAACACATTTCCTCTGTTGCTGTTTACGGGCCACTACCTAGTAACGGCCGTTGTCTCGCTGTTTATTCGCGGTCGTTGCCCAGCAACGGGTCTACCTGTCACAATATGTATTCATGTTCCTGAGTATTCGTGACGTTACAAGTAACCGTGAAGACTGTCGGCTATTACGAGAGTTCGTCTGAACAGTATTTAGAAATTGGGTTCCCATCTCACAGGAAACCCATTACAAAGACCAACCCGATAATATTGTTTAGGGAAATAATCACAGCGCATTTGAGAGAATCATACGAAACATAAATACACTGTGTGGTGCATATAGTTACCGACGTGCTTTGCAGGATGAAGCCAGCCAGCTCGGTATCCACTCTGTTTACCAGTTCAGCTGCCGGCTTTGATGACGGAAATTAGCATCACGCAATGCTTTTGTTATTCCGATGAACGTGATTGGTGATTGTATCATCCTACATCTCGTCAGCATCACGATTCCTCGAATCTGCGCTCTGACTTTATTTCCTTCGTCGCTTGATGACGCTGCTACCTGAGCCTGAGGCTGATAGGTGCGCTGTAGCTTCCAGAGAGACATGCGCTGTGTGGCCTTGCAGGCCGACGAGAATGTTCAGTCGAGGGTTAACGATGCTGCATCAACTACACATGTTATATAGCGTTGAATGAGGGGAGAAAATTGTCTAGAAAGATCTGGATATATGTCTTCTTCATGAGTTTGAAGATGATATTCTGCCATTCG